AGTGAGGGCAGGGTTTGCTTTTGGATCTCTGTGTGGTAACCCGGAACACCCAGAACAATGCCGTGAGAGGTTCAATTAATTAATCAACAATTTTATTTAAAAAGATGTAAGCAATATAGTGGAATTACAAAAGATAAATGACATGGCAAAGAAAACTTACACGAGTACTGCCTCCTACTGACAACACTAAGACTTACAATGATGTGACAACTGCTATTGATGTAAAGACATCACAGTTACCTACAATACCAAAACTACAACAATATGACAACTAACAACCACTATCAAATAAACTTGCAATCACTTATTATCACTAAAAAGAAAAACTTGTCATTAGTTATCTATACTGAAAAAAATTGTAATGGTGTTACTCTTATGTGCCAGAAAAAGTTAGAGACAGGGAGAGACAGACAGATGCTTGAAGAGAAAAGGGAAAGGAAAATGAGAGAAGAGAGAAAGGAAAGTTTTCCTGAAAGATATTACCACCCTTGGATCCAGTGATGACCAAGGTCTTGGGAGTCCTCCTGTGGTGGGCACGCAACCTACCTATTGATTATTCATCTTTTATAGACAAAACTTCTCAGGTGTTCGCCTAACTTTCTTCACTTAGCATTAGAAGTGATGGAGGTGTCTCCTTAATTTGCATGGGAAGCAGTGAGAGTTGTCTTCTTAATTTGCATGGGAAGAATGATCTTTTTGCACATGTGTAAGGGGGGGAAGGGCAGCATTAACCCTTTCAACCAGTTGGGTCACTGGTTGTGCAGACCCTGTATTAGATTTACTTTGGCTGAACTTTCCTTGTTGGCACCTCAGAGGTGAGGGGGCGACCTTGTTGGCAGGGGATTGGAGCAAGGTTTGCTACTTGGTTGTAAGGGAGGCGACCTCGTTAGCAAGGGAGTAAGGCCATAAGTCCTTTGGTACATTGCACACTTTGTCTCATCAGTGAGGAGTAGGACTAGGGGTACAACTGCAGTCTTTTACAACTGAGATGTTTGAGACAAACCTTCACAAGGCCTTTGACAGACAATTGACTTTCATCACTTACTGGGGCTTTTAATAGGCAGTTTCAATCTTTTGTAACAACCAGCTTCTCTTTTCATTCCTTACACCTAGCCACACGGACTGTAGGTTGTGCCAGGCTCTTTGGTAATGTTGTCTCAGGCACAGGGCTTTGCACTTGTCTTTGTTGAACTTCATACGGTTCTGGCTAGCTGCTCGTCCAGCCTGTCCAGGTCTCTCTGAAGATGTCTGTCCCTTCTGATGTGTCCACCCCACCACCCAGTTTAGTGACATCAGCAAACCTGGTAAGGGAGCTGATGGTCCCATCATCCAGATCATTTCTGAAGATGTTGAACATTATGGGGCCCACTACTGATCCCTGGGGGACCCTGCTTGTGACAGGCTGCCAGCCTGAGTGAAACCATTGGTCACCCTCTGAGCAGGGCCTGTGAGACAATTTGCTGCCCATCTTGCAGACTACCCATCCAGTCTGTGTCTTGGTGCGTTGTCCAGCAGAAGGCTGTGGGCAACAGTGTCAAATTCTTTGCTGAAGTCCGGGTAAGCAACATGCACGGCTCTCTCCACGTTGACAGAAGATATTATTTTGTTGTAGAAGCTGATCAGATTAGTCTGGCATGATTTTCCTTTGGTAAATCCATGCTGGATTTTCCCAATCACCTGCAGCATTTGGTTTGTAATAGTTTCGAGGAAGACTCCTTCCACGACTTTTGCAGGGACTGAAGTAAGGCTAATGGGCCTGTAGTTTCCTGGGTCCTCTTTTGGGCCATTCTTGTAGATGGGTGTTAAATTTGCCCCCTTCCAGCCATCAGGGATGCCCCCTGATCTCCACAACTTTTCAGAGATAATAGACAGTGGCCTTGCAAATACATCAGCCACTTCTGCTAATGCCTTGGGGTGGACTTCCTCTGGGCCCAGGGATTTGTGTGGGTTGAGCCCTTGCAGAGGGCCACTACTGGTGGGTTGACACATGTGTTGTTGTAGCTGCTTGATCCTGTGAGCTGGGGTCTAGCTGCTCTGGTAAAGGTGAAGGAAAGAAGGTATTGAGAACCTCTGCCTTGTCAGCATTATTTGCAACTAGTTTTCCTGCCCTGTTTAGTAATGGGCTTACGTCTTCCCTCTGTTTCTGCTTACTGCTCACATATCTGAAGAACCCTTTCTTCTTCTTTACATCTTTGGTCAATTTCAGTTCTAGCTGAGCCTTAACGTGCCTGTCTGTGTTTCTGCATGCCCTAGCAAGGTTCTTATAGTCTTCAATGGGTATTTGGGCTGCCTTTCCATAGCTGGTGTGCTTCTTTTTTGCTTTCAAGCACATGCAAAAGCTCATTGTTAACCTGGGTCGTCTCTTGTTCTGCCTTCTTCCTTGCCCTTTGTAGGGGATGGACTGTTGTGCTTCCAGGAGGCTGTTCTTTTAAAACTCCCAGGACTCACAACCTTCTTTGCCCTCCATGCATGCTTCCACGGAATAACCCTGGAATCTGGGTTCTGAGCATATTGAAGTTGTTTCTTCTGAAGTCCATGGCCTTTGTTCTACTAGTGGTCTTCAGTGTGCTCAGCAGGATCTTAAACTCCACAATGTTGTGATCACTGTATCCAAGGCTATCATTGGTACCTATGTCATCAAATGAGTCTTTTCAGTTTGTGAGCAGTAAATCTAGCAATGTCCTGTTCCTGGTTGCCATGTCCAGCACCTGTAGCAGGAAGCAGTCCTCCTGCATTACAGGTATCTCATGGACAAGTAGTGCACTGCTGTGTTGTTCTACCAAGAAATATCAGGGTAATAGAAGTCACCCATGAGGACCAGGTTCTGTTGGCCCAAGACTTCCTTGAACAGCCAAAGTAAGGTTTCATCACCCTTGTCATCCTGGTTGCAAGGTCAGTAACAGATACCTAACATAAGATCCTCCTTGGTGTTGAACCATCTAATCTCCATCCAAAGTCATTTGACAGAACTTTTGTGGTCTCCATGGCTTACCTCCACACACCCAAATTTCTCTTTTTTTTATGAAGTGCAACTCCACCTCCTCTTCCTCCCTTCCTGTCTTTCCAACAGAGTTTGTAGCCATCAACTGTGGTTTTCCTACCAAGTTTCTCTGATTCCTATCACATCATAGATCTCAGTCTGGGCATGGAGCTCCAGTTCTTCTTTGCTGCCCAGGCTACAGACGTTGGTATACATGCACTTGAGGTGTTTGGACTTAGGGTTCTTGCCTTTGTAAAAGGCTGGGGAGCATTTCCCACTACTCTAGTAGGCATGCTTATCCACAGTGTTGCTTATAAATATTCAGGTGTCACAGCTCTGGATCTTAGCCCCCAATTTTGTTACTTTAAAGCAAAATTCACCAAGCTAGCCAATCTGCTAGCAAGGTTAGGCTGCATGGGATTACTCATTAGTCTATTTGCCATATGTGAATCCCTCTTTACAGATGATTCATGTCAACATCATATCAGCAACAAACCCAATTAACCTAAGTCCTACATGAATACACTGATTTAATGGGTACTTAAGGTCACAGTTACCAAAAACAATTCTGCATGTAATTGGCCACTGGTACTTGCTACTGTCTTGTTTCAGTGGAGGCAGAATAGACAACAACTCCGCTAAGCATGCTGGACTATTAAATTAGTAGCTGTTAAGTGGGTACTATACTCAAGTGTTGCTGGCTAATAAGAAGAAAAAAAAAAAATCAGCGGTATAGCCTAAAGAGAAACTGCATGGGGATTAGACACAAAACAGGTGACAAACAAGTTTCCTCTCGACATAAGGTAAGACACAAACATGTTTTATCTCAGCACAAGAAAAGTTCTTTCAGGATGAACAATCAATCACTGGAACAATCTCTGCAGGGATGTGGCAGAGTTCCCATCACTGGAGGTTTTCATGATGTGATGGGACAGGGTACTAGATAACCTCACTCAGGCTTCCCTTCCCAACCAAAAATTTGGACCAGATGACCTTTCACAGTCCCTTCTAACCTGGGCTGTTCTGTTATTCTATGATACCTGGATCTCTTAAGACAAAAATCAGGAAACACTAGAGATAAGAAAAAGAATGTGGTGAACTTTTTTTCTAAAAAGGAAACAACTATGCCTGTGTGAAACATTTATTAGAAGCCTAGTGAACAGACTTTCCTTTTTGACCTTTCTTCTGCAGTAAAATTTTTGACACAAAAGTTACAGATATTTCTTTATGAAAATAGAGCAAAAATATTACTATAATAATATCAGAATTGTTTAATTTGTGCTTTAGGAAAACGAACCTTTGTGAAAAAAAGCCAAGCCTAACATACCTCCCTCCTATAGTTATACTTAGATTTTCAAAACAGCCTAAAAGGGTTTCATGCACAAAACTTCACTCAATTGCAAGTAGAGTTGGGTGCCTACTGCCTTTACGTCTGTCAAACGTGAGCTGTAGATACCAAGATAATTTTTAAACCACAGGTGTTATTAAGACAACCAAAGAGGTTATCTTTCAGCAGTCAGATAAACTGCTCACTAGGAACCAAAGAAAAGATACATTTTAAAGCATATTCTAGCCACCACAACAGGACAACCCTTCACAGCAGAACACAGAGCTGCTGATGTACTTCATATTGAGTTCTGCTTCACTGTCTTCAAAGTCACTTATGTAAACACAGAACTTTCCTCTCTGAGAAAATTTAATTTCTACATTGCAGAATAGTCAACATGAAAAGGAAAGATTTTTTTTTTTTCCTATGGAAGACAAATAATAGGGAAAAAAACCCTATCATCAGAGAAAAACTGAAAGGCATTTTGGCATACTTCATTCTTAACACAATAGTTAATAGGCACATAGGTTCTTGAAGGATTTGCTTTGGCAAGGTACTTAAGCATATGTCTCATATAAGAAATACCTCAATGAACCTCTGGATCATGAACCTAAGCATCTATTTTAGTCATTGAGCCTCACTTAAAGGAATTACAGGGGAAGAAAGCCCATCAGAAACAGTTTGACAACTTACTAAGTAGACATCCAAAACTGAAGCATTATCATTTTCCATTTCCAGTGTGCTCTGTTCTGAAGTCAAACAGATGGCACTGTCTTCTAAAGTGAATGTTGAACTCGACGGCAACCCCCTTCTGCAAAGAGAAGGGAGACTACAGTCAACCAAAATACAAGTGACAGAGAGCTCAGTCATAGCTGAAAATTTTAAAATACGTTTCTCTCTTAAACATAAAAGCTTCAAATACTTGAAAAGATGCAATGCAAATGGACAATTACAGATGTTGATAATGGCAGGATAACCAGCAGCTCATATTTGACTAATGTACACAAACCACAGTTTCTACTTTTGCATTAATTAAAATTGTATCAGGAAGTAATACTGTTCGTGAATGCTAATATTTACTTAAAAAATAAAATGATGTCACAGTAAATGTGGTATAATTTCATTAATTTTGAAAGAAATGACACCCACATTATATGTGGTATAAATTTTAGCAGCATTTTTAAACTCAAAATAGCAAAAAAAGACTTGGTAATTAGGCACAGCAGCATCAGACTTTCTCATGCAGATACAGGATCACTTGCATCCAACAGATTAGAAGGGAAAGTGGGAGAATAAGAGCGTACTGTAATTAGTACAGCTCTCTGAGGAAGTGGTATTTACAGAGCAGGTACTTCATTCATAGATAAAATTTTTTGTTCTCTCTTATCCAGAAAGAACGTGAAACTGCAAATGCATCTTGTTTTGTTTTGTAAACACACTTGGAACCACAAATCTGAAACTCTCAAAGGTGTTTTAATGGAGTCAGGTGCCCAGTACCACCTGTCCTCACTAGCTGCCAGAAACTAATAGACTCCAGGCTGCCTTGACAACTCAACTGACAGTTCTGCAGAGATATATTTTAAAAGTTCTTATCTATTTATACACAAGGTGGAAAGCAAGCAATTCTGCATTTTAACTGGGTATGAGAACACAGTTACAGTCATCAGTCCAGAAATGACAAATTTTCCCCTCCCTTTGCAGTACTTTGTAGTTTAAGTAGGTTTCAAGAGGGTTGTAATTACAGAAAGGGCAGAGCTAGCATGCAAAGTAGAAAACAAATTCAAATGCTCAACAAAATAATGAATCACCAGTCACTCTCATGTTTTATTAGTAGTAAGTGCACAGGATTACATTTGCCACATTACAATGTTCCTTTTATTACACAGTGTATTAGGCATCTTTTCAAAAGCAAGACTATTTATTTTGTCTCAAGGGTGACACAACTCGCACTGACTTAGTAGCATTTTTCTCACACCCATTACTTGTTTCCTATTGAGCAACACTTCAGTCACATCAGTTTTCTGCCAATGCTTAATTTTACTGAAGGGGAGAGGGCAGAAGGAGGGTTAAAATGGGTTGTTGTCAAATGTTACACTATGTTTTATCATCTCCCACAAAATAAGCTCTGGCACGAAAGATACTACTCTTGGCAAAATGGGTGGAGCAGGGGGGAGAGTCACTTTTGCTTGCAGAGTTTTGATCTCCACTGTTGCACAGTTCAGGCTTCTGAATGTGCAAATGCCCATATATGAGAACCATGGGACATGAGATGAATGTGCAGTGAGCAGCTACTACTCTATAAAAATACACAAAGTCAGTGGTCAACCCTTCCTTTTGGAAAACAGCATTCTGCATCACTAACTGTGAAGCAAGTCGGGCAGGCTGTGGTGTATACCTGGCTTTCATTCCCGCATCAAGTTAAGTTTAAAAGCAAAAAAACCCACCTTTCATATATCTATTGGGCCACATCACTGCCACCTTTACTGCTGTTATTATTAACTTCTTTCACTCCCAGAAAACCTGTGGAACTTGTACTCAAGATAAGGTGAGGATCCTGCAATTCACACCAGAGGCATTTTATTTTATATCCTTCACGTATCAGAGGACTAAGACCTCGTCCTATTACTTCAGTTTAATTCACTGGCTTACTGTGACACCTACTTTTCTTCCTCTCTTATCTACTTTTCCATTAGAAGGCACTGCGCTTCTTTTGCTGTTAGTTTGTTAAATTATAATCTATGTTGCTTCACAGCCTGCTGTGGATAGCAAACAATAGCAATGTGAGTTCAGCACTCAGTCTTGGGATTGTTAAACTACTGGTTTTGCCTATAACACAGAACAAAGACAATGCCATTTCCCCTTTGGAGTGTTCCTCTGTTTTTTTCCTACACATTTCAGAAATAAACTATACAGTCAGGTAGCAAATGAGTGTTGAAACAAAACCAACATGTTAAGAGAAGTCAATGGGAAGCTGCTATAAATGTAACAATTTGGTTACTTAGTAGTTAACTTCCTAAAAAAGAGATTGAATATATAGAAACAAATTATATATAAAAGATATATATTAACATACAGAAAGAAAAGTGAGAGAAGGGGCAGAAGAAAGTACAAAGATATAGTAATCTTATATACAGAAAACCATCAGCAACTGCAGCCCCTTGAACAAAATCAGGCATCAAAGAAGAGAATGAAACAACACAGATGCCTGTCCTCCTTTTTTCTTACAATCAAAGACCTACAACTTATTTATAGATAGCAACCTCCTTGCTGCTGCAACTTTGACGCTGAGTAATTAGAAATAAACTCTGCAAGTAAGGAAGAATCATCTCGTGCATGAAGAATTGTTGATTAAAAGGAGTAGTGTAGGAAAACTGTTTCAAGACAGAGCTTTCTTTCATATACTGTATGTTCAATAACTGGAGGTTTTTCTCTGTTTAAAAGAACATGAACTGTCCAGTTTGGGAAGCTAATCTGTAATGTGTATAAAGTGGAAATTTCAAGTCACTGCCATGCTAATTTGCATCTGGGGCTCATGCTGGTGTCAGTATGAAAGCAACCCCTTTTACTTATGTGTAATAATGTAATAACACCTTCTGAGTTACAGCTGCTTGGTTAGAAATAATTTTCATGGCAGAATACTACAATCATTTTGTTTGTTGTACTTGCCTTGTAATGACAGCATGAAGAACATGCATCCCAGCTAAGTGACTATGAAATACATCAAGATACGCATAAGAACAAGATTTCCAATTTTCCTATGAAAAGGGGGAAAAGCAAGAAGCTTTTTTTAAGGTCTCATCCTGAGCATCAATGTGGATCCTATTTTAAGAAGCACTAAATATTTTGTATTTATGCTGAAGTGAGGAGAAAAGCCATACTTTGACCTTCTACATCAGCACACTTAAACACATTTAATCAAAAACCACGCTCAAATTGTCTTCCTCTTGAGTAGAAAATAAAAGAAAACCTTCATTTTCCAAAGTTCTTCTAAAATGCTCTCTTGGACATGAGATGCAAAAAAATCCTCACTCAAATTAGCCCAAGAAGTTACAGATAGTTAGGGACTGCTACTTGCGAATATGAAAAATGGGATGTTGGGC